TAATAATAGTATTAAGTAGTATACTTTTGTAATTTTTTCCTATTGATATTCTTTGTTTTAATTTTACAGGTGAGTTAAGAACTCTTGGGTGGGGTGGGCCATTCCATCAAATCTTTGAGAAGGGGCCCAGTCTCGTAGAGAAGACTCGAAGTATTTTGTAGTTGAGATTGAGTTGCACCAACAATCAGTGTTGAGTTTGTTTCTATTTGTCTTTATAAATTGACGCGATATATTCTGAATGAGATATTTTGATGTATGTAATTAACTTATGATATTGTTTTGATTGAGAAAACACACATCACGATCAATATTAAATTGAAGACATGGAGACAAATTTTGAATTCTAAATGGTTTAGAAAGAGCAGGTTCAAGACAGAGTATTTGAGGTGCAAATTCAATAATGAAACGTATAAAATGGGCGTCAAAGTGAGACTGGACTTGATACTCAAGTTATCCCCAACAGTGAAAGATTTAAATATCTGGGGTCTCAAATCAAAGGATATGGAAAGATCAATGATGATGTCACATACTGTGTTAGTGAGACAAGGATGAAGTGGAGGCTTGCATCCGACATCTTGTATAACAAAAAGATACCATCAAAACTTAAAACTAAATTTTATAAAGTGGTGGTTAGACTGACTTAGTTGTATGAGACTAAATGTTGATTAGTCAAAAACTTTTATGTTCAGGAAATGCGGTTGTTTTAAGATGGATGTGTGGGCGCATTCTAGGAGTATAGGTATTCTGAATGGGCATTTCCGTATTAAAGTTTGAGTGGCCTCTGCGGTGGACAAGATGAGGAAAAAAATTAAGATAGTAATTCGGACATGTGGAAAAGAGATGCCTAGATGCCCAGTAAAAAGGTCTGAGAGATTCGTTATAGTGGGGCTGATGAGAGAGACGTAGACCGAAGAAGTATTAGTAAAGAAATCGTACAAGACATGACATATTTTTTAATTTATTTGTTACATGACCTTTAGATAAGAGGTTATGAAGGTCGCATATCTGAGTAAAAGGTTACTGTTAGGGAATGGTTGTTTTTGTTTTTCGAGGATTTTGGCTTGTGGTGAATTTAATTAGGATATCCATCATTTTGTTGTTTAATGTATTTCGACTATCACACTATTTTATTGTTCTTGTTTCTTTCTTATATGCCTTCCTTTGTTAGTTCATATGTTTTCTACACTATTTTCTTCTTCTTTGTGAATTTGCTGTTCTCGAATTAAAGGTCTTTCAAAAACAACCTTTCAACATCTATGAGGTAGCGATAATGTTTGTATACACTCTCGTTCGCCTTCATAGTCGTCACTTGCGAAATCATACAAGATATATTATTATTATTATTGTGAGAGTTTTTGACCAAAATGAGCTATTTTTAAAATCAATTCACCAAAATAATACGTTTTTAATTTTTTTTACAAAACTAGTATAAACGTACTTCATGGTAACGTTTTAGGATATTTTCATTATAAAAATTCAACGGACAAAAAGTTAACAGGTTGGCGACGTTAAACGCATAAACGTAACTGTGAGTAACGTTTTAGGTGTAAAACGTTACTCAAGAGTACATTTTTGGAGAATCCAATCACGGGCCACTGACTCCAATCCTGCAAAGGTGGAGTCAAATCATTCAACTGTAAAACGTTACTATGAGTAACGTTTTACACCTAAAATGTTACTTTGACTCCCGTTTCTTAGATTTGATTGATTGATAGTTGAAGGAATGGGGACGGATAAAA